GAGGAGGAGGAGGAGGAGGAGGAGGAGGAGGAGGAGGAGGAGCTGCAGATTAGGCAATGGTCAAATAAGAGGCAGCTTAGCCTGCAGAAGGAATGGGGACATGGCAACATCTCAGAAGGAACCATTCCTAGTTCCTTGGACAGTAAAGGCAAGGGGAGAGAGATGTACTTTCAGACTTGCAAGATTCTGTTACTGGTACCTTACAATAAAGATAGTGACAGTACTCATGTTTGTTGCTTCTTGTCTGGACTAGCTCAAAGGGCTGACATGTCATTTATTCATACAAATCAAATATCTCCTAAATGCTTAAAGGCTGGTATTGACATACACTCACCTGCAACCGCTCAATGATATTACGATAATCCCTTGAAGCTGCCATCACAGAATCTCTTCGAGCAGCATTTCTTGCCGTCATCCTCCAGTTCATTGCTGTTTTTTGTACGATATTATGAGACTTCAGGAAGAGGTTATTGACCTGGCTGTCAAGATCAACTGGGATAGCAATTGCTCTGCTCTTCGCTGAAATATATAATTTATTGTCTTTTTTTTTTTCAACCAATGACATGTCATACAATACATATTTCAGAAGGCTAGACTCATATCTAGAGAAATATAAGGGCAAGTTTAAATAGGGTACATTGTTCTTCATTTGTAGATATGTTGTGTTCATATTTTGGTGTTACTGTGTTTGCGTGTATGCTGTAGCTGCTTGACATAAATTGCTATTGCATGTCATCAACTAATTACAAGGTTAGGATCCCAAGCTGTACAGTATAGACAAAATACCTTTTGCACAATGGTCTTTCCCACTCTGAAGAACCCCTACATTCTTTTAAAAATTGTCTACAGAATCCAGGGTCTACCTGAATAGAAAGGAGAATTATCAACTATTGGAGGCAGCTTATTTAAGCGGAGCTCTCGGAATGTATTGCATCTCTGGCTAATTTTTAGCAATTTCTTCCAATTTTCATCTTTGGAGCCAACCTTTCCCACATCCATATTTTAATTTTCTTTGCCAGGACTCCAAGCAATAGGGGACTGTGATCTGAGGTTTTTTTGAGCACCAACCACTTTTAATCAAGAAAGAGGTCATTGTGCTGTAAATTGTAAATTAACAACCAAACCAGTAAATGAGATGTTATTTATTTAATTTATATGTATCACTTCCAAAGTGAAAGATTTTTCAATCTCTCTCTCTCTTTTTTCCACATCAGTAGATCAGAGCAGATCATGTGTATTTTCTGAATATTTTCTTTGTAAAGTTTCTGAATCAGAACATTTTGCTCTTACTGGTATGGTTCATTTGTTTCTTGTTCTTTCTTGCCTCCCACACATTGCCAACTTAACAATGATTTCTTTAAAAATGATTATTCCTAGTGGTGAACATTTAGTTGCCAAAACAAATCACTTTCTACAGACAAAAAAAAAAAAAAAAAAGCTTAAGCTATTTTAGATCCACAAATCTCCTGTAGGTCTACTGCCTCAGACAAGTGGACTCTGCATCATGTAAACTCTGTATCAAACCAAAGGTTCTCATATTATTCCATCACAGATTTAGTATATATAAAAGCAATTACAAAAATATTTGTGCATTACAGTGGTGACACCAAGTTGTTGCCATTCTTTATGCCTATTTTATTTAAATTTTATAAGACTCCTAAATGCCTCATTCTCCAAAACCTCCATCTGCTGCCTTGGACCATTTAAAAATTGATATGGGTGGAGTCTTAGTGGGCTGCATAATTAAATGTTTTGTTCTACAAGTCAAACCACAACAATAATTGGCAGTTTCATTAGTACTGGCATATTGTCAAATCCAATCCTGTTTTAGACCTTGTTGAAAATCACAGGCCATAAATATGTGCCTTGTTATCCTGTTTGATAGTTTTGCTCTGGCCTCTATTTGCAATAAATCGTGCACAAGGCCAGACAGGGATATATTTGCCTGTTCTATAATCTCTCTGCAGACCACTTCAACTGGATTCTCACAGAACTCTAGTGCTCAGTCAACAATAGCATGCTTCATGTATTCCTGGAAGAAGCCCTATTATAGTATTCTCTGGAAAGCACATCTATCTTAGACAATTAAAGTTAGAAAGAATTTTCCCTCCCTCTCTCAACAACACCAATCAGTATACATAAAGAAGCCATTATCCCTTGGCACTAAAAACGGCATCTTCCAGAGTATCACAAATACTTAGTGGAATCTGTACAGATATTAAATCATCCATGATCAGCATGTAGGAACCCAGAAGTAAGAGATGAATGAAATTATCTGTACATGCCTACAGTAGCCCGTGTATTAATACAATCTAAAAAAAAAACAGCTCTGGGCTTTGAAACAGCCAATGCAGATAAACAAGTAAATTAGCTTCAGTTATAAAAATGTGTAGTAAAGGCTTGTATCTTGTTCAAGTATGTGGAGAAAATGTAGAATGGCAAAATACAGATGTTACATCTGGAAGCTACCTACTTAATTTATCTTTCAGTCACAAGAAAGTTTGCCAGTTTACTGTATTAAAGCTATAGATTATTGGCCAGCAATTCCATGGTATTTTTGGGGGGGTGGGAGGGGGTGATGAATGTTCTTGCACTGCCTTTAAGAACAAAAAAGCCCCATGTTGGATTAGGCAAAGGTCCCCTTTAGCCCAGCATTCTGTACCCATAATAGCCAACTAAATGCCAAAGAGAAACATCCAAGCCAGAAATAAGTATCTAGCATGGTCCTGTGCTCATTGCACAAGTTCACAAGGCCTGTTTCTGTAACTGAAGGTAATACAGAGCCGTCATGCCTAATATACTGTCTTAGCTGTGAAAATAAAATGTATCTTTGATTAGATCTATTTGCACTGCTGGGATTCCACAGAAAAATACCTGTAGAAAAATGCTCCCAGCCTCAGCAACTCAGGTTATTAACAAAAATAGCATAATTTAAATGTATGAATGAAAAGGGAGAACACTTGAGGGCAACATATTTGTGAAGACAGATGTATTGAAGAGGAAGAACTTATATGGATTAATCATTACCATCCTACATAAGGCCTCCCAGTGGAGCTCCAGAATTGTTCGCCTTCCAGAAGAAGCTGAAGATGGAACTCTTCTGGAGGATGTTTGGGATATGGTGCTGTGTCATTGTTGCTAGTGAGCTTAAGTGTTTTAGGTATTGAGCATTTTGTGTTATTATATGCTTTGTGGGTTTTTTCATTGTTGTTGTTGTTGTAATCCACTGAGAGCCTGTTTAGATTTCAGCAGGGTAGAAAATTGATTAATAAGTTAATAAATAAATACTGTTTTCTTACCTACATCTGAAAGTACTCTGATACAACTTTCCACTGATGCTTTTTGACTGGGCATGAGCCAGTTACAGTGATACACTCGAAACACACCTTGTAAAAGTTGCACGAACACAGGCTGACGAGTCTAAAAAACCCCAAGAACATGTACATTTCAATTCAAAGAAAAGAGGGGGGTAGGAAAGAGAGAAAAAGAGGTCTATAAATGCAGTGAATTGGACTAAAGCCAAGCATCTAAATGAGCAAACTGATTTGTTGTGGAACCCAGAGATATTTTAAAAGCAAATTGCCTTGACGTTCTGGGGTATAGATGTACCATTACCTGTTGAAACAGTTACAAATTACTCAAACTATCAAGTCATATTAAAATACCTACCCTAAAAATAGGGAATAAAATGTTCTATTGGAAGCTGTGAGTGGAATCTAGAATGCATACTTTGAATCAATTACTTTTAGTGACTACTTTAAAGAATTGCCTTGATTTCAAGTGGAATTTTGTCTCCTTAATTCACTCAAACATATTTTAATGTTTCAATATGGACCAGGTAACACAAGGTACTATTATATTTGATAGAATCAATGTCTGAAATTAAACCCACATCCTTTTTGTATCAAAATTAAATAATATTTTTAAGTTTGTTAAGGGCATTTATGGCTAATGGATTAAAGAAGCAGAACACCAATGGAACATCACTGGTTGCAGGTCTTAACAAATGTTAAATTTGCTTCAGTGGATTTAAAATTAAAACTGATTCATCAAAAGATCTTATTTCAAGCATAATGGAAACTCCAATGAATGTATTTGAAAGGATTTAGAAGATAATTTAACATAACATTAACATCTTTAACATTAAAAGATCATATTTTCTCTGCTGGTGATGTAAAAAAATTGAAAGGGTCATTGACTCATATGATTTGGTCACTTACATCCTTATAAAATAATATGTTAACATACATAAGTACATTTATAGGGATTGTTAAAGATGTTAATGTTATGTTAAATTATCTTCTAAAACTTTGGAATCTATTTTTCAGGAGTTACAGTGTATGGTTGCATCAGGCCTGGGGTATAGTTAAGAGAATTATTTTGAGAGATAAGTAGTAACATTTCTGATATTAAAGATTAGACTTAGGAGATGTGTAATTTTTCTGTTTTTGAAAAGGCAATTTTATTTACTAATCAAAACTTGATTCAATATGTTCTTTTATGACATATTTTATGATACCTTGCAATGTTAAAGAATCATTATTTTTAAAATTCTTTAATGTAGATTTAGAAATGTGTTTGATATTTGATTAATATGTGACATATACATAGTTTCACCCTCTTCTGTTGTTGTTTTGTTTTGTTTTTTGCTATATTGAGTAGATGTATTTTTTGCATTTTTTCATATATTTCTTTTTCTGGTTTTTTATATTTTGTATTCTTTTTCTATTTCTTCGTGTAAAACTTTTTAGACCAATTTTAATGAAAAAAAGTCATGTTGCAATATGTTAGTGTATACGTTAGTCTAAAAATAAGACATATATAATATTTTATAAATGGAATCTTAAGAATTTGTTCATAGGAAAGCAATTAAATGACCAGTAGATGGCTCTATAACATAAATAAAAATTATGCCTTTCAAAAAAAAAAATCAGTTTCTTCTGAAATATTACTGACATTTTGAATGCCTTTACAGGAATATTTCTTAAGTCTACCATTGTTCTCCATGATTTTTTCCACTGTGGATAGACCAAACATCCTGAGAACGTGCAGAGAATCCAAACATTTCTTATACCTCTAAACCTAATTCTTTAGAATAGTCAGTCACTATGTTTATATTCTTTCCTGGGTCATGGGAAACAAGTCTATCAATAATGGAAAATATTTAAAAATATTTAAATTATTAAATGTTTAAATCTTGAGCAATAGTTAATGTAACCTGGTGATCCTTACAAAAAACACAGGGGATTACCAGCTGCTTAAAAACAATCCTTCCTTTAGTCTGGCAGAGACTGAGCTCTGTTGTATGAAGAAAGGTGGGAAGCGTTAGAAAAAAGAAAGCATTCTGAAACACCATATTTAATAAAGTTACACAAAGCTGAAGGCAGAAAATTAAATCCAGAATGATACTACTACAGCCCAAACTGACAGAAACATATGACAAAAATTCACTTGGAATAACAATGAGGGCTGTGCTGGAGGAAAGTTGACACTAAGTAATTAACTTTATAGGCAAGTCCATGTTGAAATATTTGTGAAAAGGATTCTAGATTTTTATGGGATCTGTTGACAGAGAGAATTCTAAAATGATGCTAGATAAATTTAATTTCATTTAACATCTTTAAATGATAAGCCGCACAGGCCTCTAGTTAGGATAATCTTTAGGCCCACATCTGAGCCTTTTCTCACAGATTTGCTTTGGGTAGCTGGAAATACCCACAGATTGGAGCAACCAATTTTCATAGCGGAATACAGCAATTAATAGTTGCCATTCCTTGGTCTGACCTGCTAAGAGATTTCTAGAGATTCATAGATGGTCTCATTGGACAGACATAGACCTGTGAGTATGTAATTTGTTTACTTCCTGCACTGAGATAATTATATATACATACATACATACATACATACATACATACATACATACATACATACATACATACATACATACATACATACATACATACATACATACATACATACATACATACATACATACATACATACATACATACATACATACATACATACATACATACATACATACATACATACATACATACATACATACATACATACATACATACATACATACATACATACATACATACATACATATATAGTTATAGTTAGTTATGGTTATAGTTATGGTTATGGTTATAGTTATAGTTATAGTTAGTTATAGTTACAAGTTATAGTTATCATCATGTGTCAATTTGGTCTGAATTGATATGTATAAACTTAGAAAAACTTAGAAAACACAGCATTTTACAAAATATAATTTGCTATCAAAAATATTTCTGTTAGGTGTTAAGCAGAAGAAAAATTTGAAGACCAATCAAGCAAATTAGCGATAGGTTATATAACTTTCAATTAGTATTTTACATTATTTTAGAGAACAGAGCAGTCTCAAGGCTGCTGGATACCATAAACTCCCTTCTTGGTTAGTGGAGAAGGACGTCTACTTGAGAAGACTGGCAGTGGAAAACTCTGGAAGTCTGTTGCTCCGGGGCTATGGCCTTGAAGTGACATGTATGACTTCCCTAGATATTTCTCCCTCAAAGTCTCCAAAAATTATTTCCAGAAGAGAGTGATAGAGAGGAAGAGAGAGAGAGAGAGAGAGAAAGAAAGGAACAGAAGACACTGTATAAGCATCAACATGGCAGATACAGTATCACTCAGACCAGCATGTGTGGAACAAGCACCTTGGCTTGATTGCACATTCTTATAGATCTAATAAATTAAGAGATTCAAATCCAAATCTATGCAAGAGTTATGTATCAGCACATGACAAACATACAGTAAAATCATTCTTAGCACTAGGGTAGAAGCTGCTTTATCACCAAACTGGTGGCTTTGCTCAAAAAAAAAAAGGGGGGGGATAACAAAAACCAAAGTCTAGGTAGCTATTTTTTCTCCCAAGCTTGAATTAGATTTTGATAGCTATGGCAACAGAAGTATTTGGTGAGAATGCTCGTGCTAGGAAGTAAAAAAAAAAAAAAATCTATTTAAAGTACTGATGTGCAAAAAACATTTGGAGAATAAACAACAGATGCTTGGAAAGTCCCTTATACTCTTACAAAGCCAGCTAATCTAGCCATTTGTTTTTATTCTGAGAGTGGCAGAAGGAGAAAATCAATCACTAATCACTCAAGCATACAAAGAGAGAGAAATAATGAGATTTCTTTCCCTATCTAAAGTCATTCCTGAAGGGCTAGCTGGAAAGGTCATGACTCTAGAATAAGCATACTTCTAATGTAAGAAAACACGCAGGTATTACAGAATTCCAAAGCAAGGGCCTGGCTGAAGACTCTTTTCTACCCGAGGCAAAAGACAAGATATTCCCAGCCAACCGAGAGAAGCCAACTGAACTGTCAGCTGAAACCATTACCAGCACTGGCAAGGAGACTCCATCCTCACACATTTAAACAAAGCAAATAAGCTCAAGGCCACAGTTTTCTTCTCCTACCATTTTCTGATTGCTCCATCTAGAAATGATTTACTCAAAACACATTTGCAGCAGCAGTGTGCAATAAAAGTACTGTAATTTGCATACCCCCATGATGCAAAGGTTTAATATTGGTATGAAAGCCAGCGTGGTATACTGGCCAAGGCGTTGCATTAGGACTGGGGAGATTACGTTCAAGTAACTTACTGGGTATCTTTGAGCTGATCCCTATCTCTCACATGGTTGTTCTTGAGGGAAAAAACTGAGTGTTCTATATGTTGTGTACATTGCTTACACATTGGTTTCTACATGAACCAATGCCCTGTTTCTGTATCGGTCAGCATACATATTGTATAGCAAGCACTCAGGACTTAATAACAGATGACTGGAACTAGAGCTGCTCTTACAATTTTCTCCATCTGAAATGTGGACTGGAACAGCCATAAGATAGGTATATCATTTTTATTCTCTGTATATGTTCCTCTTTTTAGGGGTACACCCCACATTTTGCTTTAGCACTGAAGCTCAAATGAGGGCAGGAACCTCCTGTCCTCGCACAAACTACAGAAAGCATCCTTCCGGGAAATGAGAAATACTGATGCACTCAACCTCTTCGTTGTATACATAATTCGAAATTTGCAGAAATTATTCTCCAACTCCAAAAACAGTGACAGAACTTATAGGTGAGAAGTATTATCAGAAGTGGTTCCAAAATCAAGTTAGATATGATACATAGATTTCATTTTGCTTTGCAGATGTTAATTTTCTATTTAGTTTCTTACCTGCAAAGTTGTGCTCTGGTCTGAAAATGGGGAACTGAAGAAGGTAGTAACTATACTCATCACTATTTCAGTCACATACTTTTCCAGTATAGAATCTGCATGCTTCCTGTCACTGGTATTGTTGCAAGTCTGGAAAATAATTCATTCTTTTAAAAACAAACCCTGCAATAATTCTAATTCCCTGGCAACCACCAAGCAGTTAAACTTAATATACCTAGAGAGAGAACATTTCTAGAAATTCTGAAACAGTGTAAAAACATATTTGGGGAGGGTGTGGAATGGAAATATGTGCAATTTCTAGAAAAAGCTTTTTATCAGTACCAATAATAAATGGATGTTCCTACAAATGGCTACCTCAGTGTTTGAGGTGTAGTAGAGAATAGGAACAGATACACCAACTGTTAGACTGAAAGTTAACAAGAGGAAACAGAGATTCTTCTCTTGTGAAACTTCAGGCTGCTTGGAGAAAGAAAAAAAAGTTTTGCTGCTGTGTTTGAAAACTCTACTGCAGTCTGTGTAAATGGAATTATAATGATCTGATAATATTAAGGTTCTTATATATAGCAGAATTTATATGGCAAATCGTTTTAGGTAGAAGTGTGTTAGTAGCAACATATCAACACTTTTCTCAAGCATTTGATATATCATTCAAAGAGAAAATAATAAGATATATTTCATAATCCTTTTTTTTCCAGGAAAAAGCTCGTTTTTCCCCATGTCCTTACCATTCATTAGATAGAAACCCAAATTACAAATCACACCTATCAATGAACTGAGGTGGAGCTACTAGGATTGTAGTAAAAATCTGACAATTGTCAACCAACAGCAAAGCATTCCAACAGCAGAACCAGCACAGCAAACAGCAGAACAGCAGAAACAGCAGAACCAGAACAGCAAAACCAACAGAAATCATTCCCCCGATACACACACACTCCAATATGCATAACGTCCAGTGAGGATTGAGTCTGTTCAATATTGTCAAAAGTAACTTTGGAAAAGAAAAACAGAATGGTGTCTGTGCTTAGAGGAAGGGTAATGCCCTGCTTGAATGGGTAGAATTTGACAAGGAGCCCTCCTTTTTAAGAGCAAGGACAAAGTGCAGCGTTTGTTATGTATCACTTTTTTTCCAACATGGATAAAGATAGTGGTATCTAGAAAACAGGCATTGTAGTAAATATATAAAAACAGCCCTCCAATCTAATTACTTGTCATAGATGCTTGTGCTTACCTCAGAACAGAGAACCAACACCAAGAAAAGTTAACTAGGAACCATGAGTGGGGGGAACTACAGAGGGCTTAGAGCAGTGTTTCTTGACCTTAGCAACTTTAAGATATGTGGACTTCAACTCCTAGAATTCCCCAGCCACCCATGCTGGCTGGAGAATTCTGGGAATTGAAGTCCACATATCTTAAAGTTGCTAAGGTTGAGAAACAGTTGCTTTGAGAGCTGAAAACCTCAGAAGTATGGAACCTACATAGAAACCTAAACAAACACATATTATCACATAATTACATGAAGGTAGCCAATGTTATTATTACTATTGTTAAATCTAACTGCCATATATGGATGAAATTATAGAGGACATTTCAAATGAAACTGAAACAATGGATATGACTTTTCCAGCTCTTTCCAAACAGATGTTTTATAAGTAGCATTCAGATGTGACATTTTAAATATTTCCAGCTACAAATACTTACCCTACAGATATCAACAAGGAAGTTCTCAAAGAGTTTCCACATATGATTGCTTGTATAAATCTCTTTCATTTCAACTTCTGTGTCGACATAGCAATGATTTAGAAAATTAATATAGGCTATTTTCACCTGCAGATAACAAATCAAATAATTTTATATACCCTCTTTAAAAAAAAGATTAAAAATGTTGGCTAAGTCTGGCCAATTATGATAAAAAATAACAGTAAAATTGCATTTTTTATGAAATCCAATCTCGTACCCTTCTTATCCACATCCTGTCTTCATCTCTGTAAAATATTCCCCCACTTAGTTAATCTATTTGTCATTATCAATGTTAGTTTAGTTGTGGCAAACCACAAACCAGTTCAACTCATCATTTTAGACCTTGACTTAAAAGAAATGGTAGTTAGCCTTAATAATGCTTAATGTCAATACTGATGTTTTTCTCACAACAAAAGGAGATGTGAGGCAGCAAGGAGACAGCACAAATTTACCACAAACAGCAGAGACAAAATTATTTTTGCAGCAATTTCAAACAGAATTTGAATGCCAGTTCTATTTCACTCTGAAACAGCTAAGGTCCAAAATCTCTTATAAAACCATGGTATATTAGGTAGATGCAGCTACAGTATTTCCTTTTCTTAAATATCAGAGTATTTAGTTCTGCCACAACAATAAAATTTTAGGTACAATCTACAGACATGCAAAACTTCACAGATCATTTCATGAATGTGGAATGCATACATATATAAAAGAAAAAAGAAAGGGATAACATGTTAGTGAAATTATAATGGCAAAAGCAACTGTATACAGGTTTTAAATCTATAACCTTGTTTTATATTATTTTATCACTAATTATACAGATATATTACTGATTATAATTTGGAATTCTGCTGTGCGTGACTAAAGAAACCTGCCAAGCATTTGGGGAGGGCCCTTCCTTTTACAATCTTAGGGGACAGTCATTTCAGGTGTTAGACAGTTTATGATGGTTCTTAGTGACAACAGATGAACAAGGATTATTTATGTACAAAGTGGTATCACGTATGGTTACAATAGCATTATTATAGAAGTAGACCAACTTTGGAGCATTCATCAAATACCTGCTACAGTGGATATAACCCGTCACCCAAAAAAAATATATCAGAAGATTGCTACCCATCATGTTTATTTTCTAAGGAAGTGTGTTGGGCTCAGAGGCATTCTTGTAAACAACAGAATACAAGAGGCTGGCCTTGTGGGCGGTACAGAGTTTGTCACTTAGTTCAAGTGAACCATGCTAAGATGTGTGGTAGATACCAAGGAAATGCTTGTAAGCACATTCCTTCTAAGAAACAAAGTTCAAACTGACACAAAATTCATGCAAAATCTGCATTGTAAAAAAACAAAAAATAAGCCAAACATTAGTTTAGCGATCGGTGAAAATGGCACAAACATTCTAATTGTTGTACTAAGGAAAAAAAGGATTACTTTCTATGTCAGGGAAAGAACAGCTCTTGTTTAAACTGTAATGAAAACCTTAATCTGTCCTTAATTGAATCCTTGATCTAAGGAGAGATGATGTAAATTTGCCATAAAATCAACGAAGCCATGTCCTTGGGGGAAATGGGGGGCGGGGGAGAAGGGGCAATGAAGATTTCATTGCCACAAATTAAAGAAAGAATAAAAGTTTCCATCCTGTTCCTCAGTCTCATCCTAATTAAAACACAATCCCTGACAGTTCACCTAAGCCTGACAAGCAGAAGCAAGCAAAACAGAATGTTACCTCAGGTATGCAATCCTCATGTGTTACAACTCTAACAATGTCATCCAATGGGAGAAGAGAGTTGCACTTGATTTCAGTGTAGACATTTTTGCCCTCTGTGCAAACAGCCAGTAATTCTACTAAGTGGATATGGTACATGAGAGCACTATTTTCATCCATTCTGTCCCGTTCTGATCTCATCATCTGCACTAATGTCTGGAATGAGGCTCTGTCATTGTAGAACACAAGGACATCTTCCCCTGCATTGACCAGCTACCAAGAGAAGAGTGTCATAATTCCACCCTACATGAGAAACAACTAATATAAAATTCAACAGGCTCCTAGCAGATCAGCAAGCTGCACCTACTATCATGTCTTCTGCAATCTTTATTTGACGGTTTGTACATTTCTACAGCAACATTTTGACATGTTTGCTAAATTTATACTATGAACAAGGGTAGTATATACTTTAATAAGTCTAGATTTAATAATCACAAATATGAAAAAAAAACCCACCTGTATTGGGCTGCAAATAGCTGTACTTAGCTGAAAAATCAGCAGTGTATAACCAGAGAATAAAATCCAGAGAAAGCATAAACTTATGGAACATAGCCAATAGACAATGCTGGATGTAGAGTTAAAAAATAAACACAACATTGTTGTATAAGCAAGTGCTACCTGCAATGGTGCCTGACAAGCATCTCTGAGGAAGGTGCTCACATATGGGATGCCATTACAGAGAGATAGCTCTCTCTCTTGTCACAGTCACCAAAAGCTGATGGTGGCTTCAATCCTAACTAATTAATATGCAGAGACATGCACTCCTTTGAATTTACTTCACATAGGTCTATGTACTTCTCTTAGCAACAAAACAGAAGAGACATACTAATGTCTTCTGGCAAACTTATTTACTAGAATGTAAATCCCATCGAAATCTGTGAGATTACATCTAAAATAAGATGCTGACTTGCACTATTATAAGAAATTAATACAGTTCTCATTAGTAAGATATTTGTGAGAATACTATATTTTTTTTGTAATAATTCTCCTTAGAGAATTAATAAACTTCTTTAGCTATTCTCTGCCTGATAGGCTGTTTACAGTTGTATTTCTTACACACACTCAAGAGATTGGTAAAGTTAACATATTGTAACTTTCCCTTACTTCCCAACCCATTAAAGTACTAATTCAAGCAACTGTGTTAAAAGGGAGATGTCAGGGGTGCCTAAGGGAGACCACAAGGGAGACACTGGGTGGTGGCGTCCAGCTGAGGCTGCCAAAGGCCCCAGGTCTCTATTTCAGCCCCAGCATCACTGCCACAGAGTGCCACTGTGCAGGGTGGCCAAAAGGGCAGAGATTGGGAGGAGAACAGGCAGGGGGGAATTGAAGAGGAGATAGTCTCCTAGCTTACTGAAGTTTAGGGCTGGGAGGGACTAAGCCAGGAATGGCTCAGATTGGGATGGGTCCTGTGATGGAAGGCATGAGTGAGGAGGATCCTGGATTGGAGCTTCAAGGTTGCAGGAAGGGGAAGAGACATTCCAAGCATCTCCTCAGCCCCTAGCCGGAGTGTGTGAAAGTTAAGAGAAGGAGACTGGCCTCTCCCTAAGAGATTCAGGGTTATACTTGCTGTCGTTGGGGGTTAGAGTTAGTTGGGTGAGTTTCTGTCTAATAGGTGTAAGCTAATAAAGTAACTGAGCTGTTCCTGGACTCTCTCGTGGTTCTTGGGCTGAACCTGACAGGTCCTCACCTAATGACCAGATTAGCTTAGCAGGACTGCCGCTGCTAAGTGATGCAGTCACATGACGTCACACTTTACGACCTCATTGCTTAGCAATGATGGAAATTCCAGTCCTAATTATCATCAGAACTTGAGGACCACCTGTATGGCTTTGTAATACTAACTCCTGAACATTGATATCTAACAATCAACCAGTTTCTCATTGCTTAGAGCTTCTTAAGACTTATCTTTTATCTATAAATATGCAGTATGGATGCATCTTTCTCACCTCAGCCATGACCATATCCTGACATTTTTTAATGAACTTCCCTTCAGCCTTAACAATTGTCTGGAGGAATTTAATGTACTGGACATTCCTTCCATGTGTTTCAATGCAGTGCACAAAGTGTTGAACAACTCGCTCATTAATTTCACTGCAAAGCTGGAAATTATTCATGAAGATGTGTTGCATTGTCACAGCTTCCAGAATCTATTGAAGAGTAAAACAACAAACCATAACAATATTAACACTTCAACAAGGAGTGCTGCATATTATGATAAGAATGGTTTTAGAATTCAGGAATCTGGCACTCCAAATATTCTGGCACTCAGGTCTTTAATGGGACAAGTTCATCCATATCTATCTTTCAGCTTCTTGGGATTCTTTTCTTATAAAATGCAAACTGCAGATCTACACCAAGCAAAACAGAGTCTGCCAATGGCCCATTTGGAAAAAGAGAAAATCAGCAAATGAGCTATTCCTGGTTGGTGTGCTGTACCATTCTTGGAAAGGCATAAATCACAAAGGTTTCATAAGTATGCTGCAGCACATCACATTCCTTCTGCCTTATTATGAACTTTTCCATCACATCATTTCTACTCCAGCATCCAGAATTACTGAATATGCTGCAGTAGAAGGAATGTAACTTGGCAAAAATGTGGGCGAAGCAGCTTGCCATACAGGAACAGTCTCGAGGAGAGTCTTGGGGCTTTTTGGTTTTTTTGTGTGTTTTTACTGGCATATGGGCTTTGGCCCGACACAGAAATGGGGAATGCGAAATTGGATTTGTATCTGTGAAATTCTCAGTGCAACTCAAAACTCAACAACCTGGGACAAATATACAGTCAGGTCCAGAAATATTGGGACATCAACACAATTCTAACATCTTTGGCTCTATACACATGTCCCAATATTTCTGGACCTGACTGTATATTTGTGTATAGAGCCAAAGATGTTAGAATTGTGTCGATGTCCCAATATTTCTGGACCTGACTGTATATTTGTGTATAGAGCCAAAGATGTTAGAATTGTGTCGATGTCCCAATATTTCTGGACCTGACTGTATATTTGTGTATAGAGCCAAAGATGTTAGAATTGTGTCGATGTCCCAATATTTCTGGACCTGACTGTATATTTGTGTATAGAGCCAAAGATGTTAGAATTGTGTCGATGTCCCAATATTTCTGGACCTGACTGTATATTTGTGTATAGAGCCAAAGATGTTAGAATTGTGTCGATGTCCCAATATTTCTGGACCTGACTGTATATTTGTGTATAGAGCCAAAGATGTTAGAATTGTGTCGATGTCCCAATATTTCTGGACCTGACTGTATATTTGTGTATAGAGCCAAAGATGTTAGAATTGTGTCGATGTCCCAATATTTCTGGACCTGACTGTATATTTGTGTATAGAGCCAAAGATGTTAGAATTGTGTCGATGTCCCAATATTTCTGGACCTGACTGTATATTTGTGTATAGAGCCAAAGATGTTAGAATTGTGTCGATGTCCCAATATTTCTGGACCTGACTGTATATTTGTGTATAGAGCCAAAGATGTTAGAATTGTGTCGATGTCCCAATATTTCTGGACCTGACTGTATATTTGTGTATAGAGCCAAAGATGTTAGAATTGTGTCGATGTCCCAATATTTCTGGACCTGACTGTATATTTGTGTATAGAGCCAAAGATGTTAGAATTGTGTCGATGTCCCAATATTTCTGGACCTGACTGTAAAACAGGCTTATGAAGTAGGCTTTAATTAAATTATTTCTTACCCCAGGATTGAGAAACAGATTTATATGCTTGTGCAGCAAAGCCTGATTTTGCTGATTGCCAGCACAGAAGTTCTGTAGAAATTCATGGGCAAGTTTCATGATCTCCTGCATGCGTATATCTTCAGCCTGTGATTATAACACACACATACAAAAATCTCCCAAAGGGTTAAGAATACAAAAGCTTCAGAATGAGCTAATCAAATGGTTTCATACTGGGATTAAGCAAAGATAATACAAGCCTGTACACAATCACTATTTTAAATAAATTACAGAAAACAGGGTAAGGTTCTGTGAAGTTTAAATGATCAAGTTGCAAAGGGATGTAACATGTTAGCATCACCAGCCACTTATGAACGCAAGGTTTTTAAATATTTCATAGCCAATTATAAAACAGCACTGCCAGACTGTGCTCAGAAAACATTAGCATAGAGCAGTTTATTAATGGGGAGAATAGGTGCGCCTTTTAAAATTACTGTAGACAAGATCTCCAAAGATCTCTTTTGAAGGTCCCTATGCCATTTAACCAGCAATCAACATGCACACCATATACACAATTGTTAGGACCTTTAAACACCATTACTAAGAAACTTCTTACTCCCTTGAGTTGGATTTTTGGCCAACTCAAGGCAGCATACATACCTAATGTTCCCTCCTCCTATTTTCCCCATAACTACAACCCTGTGAGGTGGGTTGGGCTGAGTGAAAGTGACTGGCCCAATGAAGGGGAGCTGGAAACAGGGGAGCCCCTGTTTTCACTAGTTTTAAACTCAGAGCACCCAACAGTTCTATATATCTCCTTTCTGTTCATCCTTTGTGGTGCTTTGTTTCTCTTACTGAATCCTCCAACGACTATAAAGCAGACACATTTGCCAATTTTGAATTGGAAGAAATCATCTACACAGATTATACTATTAATTTCTCTGCATAATTGAAGGCCAGTTATTGATTTAGATACCTCATGGACATTTATATCTCCTTCTCAGTAACTGGAAAAAAAAATCTATCATTCTGAGCTTTTCTCTTACTCATTCTTGTAATAAAGAAAGCTTTGGCAGAAATTTTGTCTGTTGTTGCTTCAATAAGTATTAAATGAATACATTGTTCCTAAAGATATAGAGATTGAACAGCAGCTTCTTTGATGCCATTTATGAGAGGCGGGTTTTAGAAAGAATTAAAGATATGAAAATATTTTGCGGACAGAGTGTAAAGTAAAAGATGCATGCAAACCTCACTTTCTCATAGGGGATTTGTAAGAGTTCCAGTACCACTGCATGAGCCCCCATGTTTCGGAGTAACCTCTGCTGCTGTTTCCTGCTTTTCCTGACCAAGATACTCTCCTGGACACAAAGCTTGCTAAGACGAAGCAAAATCTGCAAAGACATATTCCTTTCAGACACTGATTTTTTTCCAGGCAGGCCAGTAGAAAAACTCATTTCTTCAACAGAACAAAGAGACTGGATTTAAGAGCAAAACATGAAAATAAATACACTGTTCAACTGAGGCAGCAATTTTGTTAGGATTGTGACTACCACAACCAAAGATCAATACTGGACCCACATTTTAGTTTTCATATTCAAGGAAAATAAACTTCTTAATACTCCAGTGACAAACATGTAGCAAAAATCTGTCCAAATCTCAGAAGTTTCATATGGACCAATCAATATTTCCAGTAGCCAACATTGCTCTAAATAGTATCTGGTCTACTTTCCATAAATTGGAGGGGCAGGATGCTTGGCAAAAATGCTTTTTTGTCAATCTAGTTTTTCTGTTTGAAATGGGGAAGGGGAGGAGAGGACCAAGATACAACTCTAACCATATACCTACATCTATTTTGTAGGTAGAAATTATATAGCAATCTTGCATTTCTGTCCTCCCACCCCAACCCCAGGAAAACATGGGAATACATGTTTGGATTAGTTCAAAGCTATTTGCCCAACTGAAATGTGAATTAAGATATATGTATATCACACATAAATATTATCAGTACTCATTTGCCTAATTTATCACACCATGAGCTTCTTAAAATTAGTTAGACAAAGTTATGATCTTTAAGATAGTTAACAAATGTTTATCCCTGTACTGAACAAGTAGCCCTACCTTAGGAGCCAAAACTCGTTAACTACAGAGCTCTATGTATCCAGCAACTGCCTTATTACCTTCTATAAGTCAAAGAATGTTTTACATTCAAACAGGAAAAAACAGAATTATCCTGTTACACATTCAAAATTCTTCAGCACATGGAATGAAAGAAGAACAAGAAAAGAGAACATAAGAAATGGGCATTTGGGAATGGAGAAATCTTACCTCTTTTACCACCCTATAATTATAGCTACTAGTGCTTTCCGGTTTAGACGATTTGCTGTGGCCTTCCTAGGGGACAAACAAGATCAATATATTACATTGCTTTTCTAAATCCTGGAGTTCATGAATATATACTTTTAGCAGTTGTTTCTTACCAGAGCTCTAAAATGTTTCCCATTGTAGGAGGTTTTGCCTATTCCAAGTCATTAGGAAAAGGAGGATGGAAGTTTTAACAAAATTTTAAATATTCATGGTGAAAATTCATAAAAATTCTTTTCTTCATGTAATATCAATACATATCCTATCATTAATTATCTAGTAATAATTATTGAGAGCATATAGTATATTTTCTTTCCTTTCCTTCAACTTTATTGTAATATAGTGATATTGTAGCATTTTTTGATTACCAGTTATGTTTTAGTACTGTATGTTTAATCCTATTGTTACAGACTAAAGAGTGAGGTATGCTGACATTGTACACATACACATATAGGCTAATATTTTCTCACCATGCCAGTAAACATTCTTCTTTCAGTTTACAGTACACAACTAAGGATGAATTTGCTGAATTATTTGGGGGTGGATTTAAAGGAGGCAAACATGTTAATGACAGGAGACATTCCAGATTTAAAGTAAAAAATAACTGGGTAACAGACAAAGAAACACCAGAACTCTTCAAGAAAGTTCTAATTTTTACTCTTTAAATTAATATATTATTGGAGTATTCATATTTGTTCATATATTATTGGAGTGTTAATATTTATGCCAAAAACACATTATTTTTTTTAAATTAAAAGACCTTCATATTTACAGGCTGCAAACATTAATAAACATACAGTAGGTGGCACAGTTTCTCAGCCTTACATCATGGTGGGTCTAAGATCATTTTAACACTTGGTCAAGGGGCCAGGGTGAGGGGGGTGGGGGGTATTTTTGTGGTTTTCCAAGAGTTGTTTAGCTACAGTTCTCAGCATTTCTCCACAGGCTATGTTAATACATTTGATGTTTTAAGATGTGTTACAAGAAGAACTCAGGTTGCCTAACTGCCAAATGATGGTATATTCAAAGAAAACAACTTTTGAGCTTACAGTTTAGGCCTGATGCATAGCAATAGGTGAAACTCCTAACTATTAATATTATTGGGAAAGGTTTTAGAGGTTCTCAAATCTAGTTAAATTTTATGTACAACTTAAAAAAAAAAAAAGAACTACTATAGCTATACTATACTATAACTTGGAATAAAGGGTTGGAATATCAGTGGAGTTCGGTAATGAATCATTTGCAAGCAAACAACCAAGCTCAGAGAGTGGCAAGGACTCCACAGTTCAACCCTGAGCTACATCTATTCTCTTCTATGGGTTGGAATATCAATGGGATAGAGCTTTATAGAATGTTTAATTAGTATGCCGTGATCATAAGATGTGATTAATTCAACAAAATACTATTTTTTGTATTGGACATCCCAGGGGGATACGTAATAAGAATTTATTTCAACTTCTGAATCCTGGAAATATAATATTACTGTGAGTACACCATACTTTGGGATTGTTCCATGGATGAACATCTTGGTTTAAAAATCACTTCCTATAAGCGCCATGGTGAGCTGACATCTTACTGGCTTGCTGGCTACTAAGACAGCTTTTGCAAGGGAAATAGCGACTGTATGTTGGATCCAGGCTGGCGTAATCTCTCCAGATCAAAGGAGAGATCATTGAGATCATCCACGTGAGTCCGGACAGCCGCTACTCATGAGTAGACTGCAGAAACTGTTGTTTTACAGTCAGCTTATGAATGGAGTAGCTGGGAGTTGGGATTACATCGAAAATATATAATTATATATATATGTGTGTGTGTGTGTCTACATATACAGTACATATACATAAATGTTTTCCAAATATAGCACAAGTCAAGTATTACATCTCCTAAATATTTATGTTCAAATTTAAATCCAAGATGGTAAAAAAATTCCATTTCTATATAACACAAATAATCTTAGGTTCCCTTCCCTTTCCACCATTATATAGTTATACAGTTGTTCCGGCAATGAGAACCCAAGGAAAGGAAACAGAAGAGTAGTGAATCTATTCCAGAAGTGAGATAGAACCACTACTCAAGTAATTGGCTGGAAGAAAAATGTCTGTTAGAGGAGAAAGAGAGAACTAGGAGCTCTCTGGCTAAAACATGGGCTTAGAAATCAAACTAGATGGGATTGGAGGGCTGAAATAGTTTGGTTCAGTATTTAAAACGATTATTTCTTTCAAGCCTTTGAAAACTTCCTCCATCGCGTATTCCTTAAACTAATCTGTCAAACATCTTATGCAGCAATGAGGGAGAATGCAGCAAAAAAGTAAAAACTCAAAAACATATTGGAAAAGCTACATTCATACTGGAAGATACATTAAACTAAAATCAAAGCCCTCAAGCATACAGTACTGACTATATTATACTGATTCTTAATATTTTTATGTTCTCAGTAATATTTACAAAAGTTATCAAAGTTAGGCTGTGACTGATATTCCAAGCTGTGAGGGCACACTGAAGACATAAAACAGCATAGATAAAAGTTCTTCTTACCTCCTTTTTCTTATGTTCATTTTCTCCTGTTGTTACATCTACAGCTTCATCAGGCCCCTGTCCTTTGTATACCCAGAGTTCCGATTTTTCAACAATGGACCTCAGCTGATCCAAATCTTGTTTTATCTGCTTGTAATTGTCAACATCTTGGCTGGTAACAAGCAGTTGAACCTTACATGAATTGCAATCAATTAGTCGCAATACATATTTGCTCTACACACATTCAGAGCAAACAAAGAACATCACATAACTGCATTTACCTGTTTAAAGGCCTGGAGGACTTCTTGCCTCTGACTAAAGTGTCTGAAGAGCAGCTGAAGTGCCCCAGACACCAGTGGAGGATAGTCATGCATTGTTAAATGAAGCAAAACTCTCAGAAAAGTTCTGCCACCATGATCATCCAAATCTAGTGGTGTATTCTCTTCACTGAAAACACAAAATATAACAATATTAAAACAAAAGTAAGAACTTTACTTTTTAAGCAAGCTTAAGGACATCTCAGACAGTTTCCCTGGCTGTACTTCATCTGATGTTAGGAGAGAAAGAGAGCACTACAAATTAAAACTGAATATAAAGTCATTTATTTAATCACCACTGGAAAATGGATGACAGCTTTATTTTGACTGCAGTAACTTTCTCCCTTCATACTCATCTCAACACCAACCATCTGCATTTTGTCCTTGAAAATTGGTATAATTTTGAAGACTCATTAACTTCCTTCTCTCATTGACTACAAACATTTTCAGTTGACCTCTACCCAGCTTTTCTTCATTTTTCCACAGGGGAGCAAAGGAAAGAACAAGATGAGAGCTGAAGAAAACATACTAAACCCTCAAGTGGCACCATTTAAATCTGATAAACAGAAACAACTAAAGGAAATATCTAAGTACTATATTGCATGACCAGTATTATTTATTTGTTTATTAAATTTATATAGCCCCCCCCCCCCCCCC